CTTCCCAGCCCGGCCCTTAATGAACATAGCAGAGCTCAGCCTCTGCTGTCACTCAAGATGGTGAACGGAAGTCGGTTTGCCCTAACTGAAAATGACGCCCACAATGCCCCGCCCATTCCCGTAGTCAATATGGCCGCCCTTGCTTCAGTCTCTGGAATTTCCCTCTTAAGGGTACCGCCTCAAAGCCAAGAGATGGCGATGTGGAGCCGTTTGGAAAATTGTCAAGCGTCACGACTTAGGCTTTGAGAGGACTAGCAAGTGGGATTTAAAGACAGGTGGCTCATTCTTCCACACTGAAGTTTTTTCTTACTTTTGAAATTAAAATATAATTATGGAAGCCAGCATAATTGTTCAGGTCTTTAATTCCAGCACTTAAAAGACCAGTTTGGTCTATGCCAAAAACTCTAGGACAGTCAGGGTTACACAGAGAAACCCTATCTCAAAAAAACAAAATATTATATGTAAAATACATGGTCTCCCTACAGCGGTGAGACCGGGAAGTGGACATATATATATATATATATATATATATATATATATATACTACAGTCTGGAGAGATGGCTCAGGGATCAAGAGCACTTGCTCCTTCTGCAGAGAACTCTGGTATCGGGATTCGGCGTTCTCTCTGATCTCTGAAATCAGCAGGCACGCATGTGGTGCTCATACATGTAGGCAAAACATTCATACATAAAGGAATGTTAAAATATCACGTCATTTCCTTTTCCCTTTCTTCCCTCCAACCCTTCCCATAAAATATAAATCCCCACCAAATCCACAGCCTTTACAGCCTGCTCAATCCATTTAATGCCCCCTATCTGTATATGAATTCAAGGCTGACCACTTGCTCTATTGGATATCAAAAGGAGGGACTTTTCACAAAACCACCGCTGTCCTCTGCAGCCCTTAGGTGCCTGTGGTTGTCTAGGGATGGGGCCAGGTGAAATCTCCCCTTCCGAGCTGGCGTGTGTATTGATGCCCTCCTGTTCATGCCTTTTTTATTTATTTATTTTTAGTTTTTTGAGACAGGGTTTCTCTGTGCAGCCTTGGATGTCCTGAGACCAGGACATCCTGTCCTGTCACATCCTGTCCTCTGTAGACCAGGCTGGCCCCGAGTTCAGAGATCTGCCTGCCTCTGCCTTCAGAGTACTGGGATGGATTATAGGCATGCGCCACCACTGTCTGGCTATCTTTTTTAGATAGTCAAGTCTTTGAGACTACATGGGCAGAGCTCCCTGACATTTCTAGAGGCCTTTCATACATTTATTCAAATGTATACACGAACAACTTAAACATAAATACATGAACTATTTACAGAAATCATCCAGGGCGGGGCTGGAGAGATGGCTCAGTGGTTAAGAGCATTGCCTGCTCTTCCAAAGGTCCTGAGTTCAATTCCCAGCAACCACATGGTGGCTCACAACCATCTGTAAAGAGGTCTGGCGCCCTCTTCTGGCCTTCAGGCATACAGACAGAATATTGTATACATAATAAATAAATAAGTAAATAAATAAATATTAAAAAAAACCATCCAGGGCTATGGTTTTCAATGCCAAAAGGCAGAAGACTCACGTGATTGCTTTTAATACTTATTTATTTTGGTTTTTCAAGACAGGGCTTCTCTGTGTAGCTCCCGGCTGTCCAGGGCTTCTCTGTGTAGCTCCCGGCTGTCCGGTAGACAGTTCTTTAGGTCATTCGCATATGTACTGTGAGGAGGGAGCGTGCACAGCCCTAACATCACAGGACAAATTAATTGAGATGGTTCTCTCTTTCCATCCTGCAGGTTCTGGGGACCAAAGCCGGGTTGTCAGGCTTGGCAACAGTGCCTTTACCTGCTGAGCCACCTCACCGGCTGGCATTTCCCAGTTTTTATCTCAACATCCACTTCCTCCATTAGTATATAAATACCCACCCACCAAATCCTGAAACCCTCCCAAAATAGCCCTCTAATACGTTAATTCCAGGATGGGGGCTCTGCCTCCACTGCCTTGGACTGATGAGTGATTCTAGGCTGTGCTGGGATTACAGGCCAGGCCACCATGCCTGACCATCACACTGCTTCCCATCTGTTTTTGTTTTTGTTTTTCAAGACAGGGTTTCACTGTAGTTTTAGATACTGTCCTGGAACTAGCTCTTTTTTTTTTTTTTTTTTTTTCGAGACAGGGTTTCTCCGTAGCTTTTGGTTCCTGTCCTGGAACTAGCTCTTGTAGACCAGGCTGGCCTCGAACTCACAGAGATCCGCCTGCCTCTGCCTCCCGAGTGCTGGGATTAAAGGTGTGCGCCACCACCGCCCGACTTTGCTTCCCATCTTTTTGCCTTTTAGACAGTCTCTTCAGAACAGCTATTGCCCACACCAGTAAAAGATTAGGCTGAGACTGGCCACCTCAGCATCAGGAATGGGATCTGACTGACTTAAACTGGCAACTGGTTCCTATCCCTGTCACTGCCCTGTAATGGATACAGTGTTGACCTTGTGATCCAAATCCATACAATCAGAATGACAATATGACTTTTGGCAGAAATTGTAAAACCCTCATCCCTTCGTGCTCTGGACAATATGACATGGACATTGTAGCCCCAGTGGGTGAAGATGGAAGTCTTGAGGTCAGAGTCCACAGTCAGAGGGTACACGGCAGAGAAACAGAGTCAGACTTCTGTAGACACTGCAGGGTCAAACCTGAAGCCTTTGCTAACGACACCAAGTAGAGTATGGTAGGCAAAGCTGTAATCTCAGGCTTTGGGAGATGGAGGGAGAAGGAAGGATCAGGGTTTGGAATCCTTCAGTTACACAACCAGTTCAAGGCCAATCAGAGAGAGAGGGAGGAAGGGAGAGAGAAAGAGGTGGAGGAAGGAAGGAAGGAAGGAAGAAAGGAAGGAAGGAAGGAAGGAAAAAGGAGAGAGGGAGGGAAGGAGGGAAGGAAGGAGGGAGGGAGGGAAGAAGGAAGGAAGGAAAAAGGATAGATGGAGGGAGAGAGAGAAGGAAGGAGGGAAGGAAGGAAAGAGGGAAGGAGGGAAGGGAGGGAGGGAGGGAGGGAGGGAGGGAAGGCAGGGTGTGGGTGTATTGGGATGGCTCATGTGGCAGCTGTGCTGCCGCCGAGATGGTAGCTTGAGTTGGAATTGTGGAACTGACATGGTAGGAGAGAATCTTTGATGGAGTTGTACCCTGACCCCCACATGCATGCTGTCTCATGTGTGCCTCCTCCAACACATATAAATGAGTAATGACAAAAATCAACCACAGCCAGGTGGTGGTGGTGGCACACGCCTTTAATCCCAGCACTCGGGAGGCAGAGGCAGGTGGATCTCTGTGAGTTTAAAGCCAATCTGGTCTACAAGAGCTAGTTCCAGGACAGGTTCTAAAACTACAGCGAAACCCGGTTTCAAAAAACCAAAAAAAAAAAAAAAAAAAAATCAACCACAAAAGCCTCATACATTACCACTTCTGTGTAGAACACTCAAGCACAGGTTAAGAGCCCTGGTTCTTTCACAGGATGGGGGTTCAGTTCCCAGTGTCCACACCGCGGCTCACAACTGCCTGTAAGTCCAATTCCAGGGGATCAGACACCTTCACAGCAATACACATAAAATAAAGTTAAATAAATAATTAGGAGCTGGCTTCTTTGGGACCCATTCCCTATGGTGAGATGACTCGCTCAGCTTTGATGCAGTGAGGAGGAGCCCGGTTCTGCTTCAACTTGATCTGCCAGGTTTTATTGGGAGGTCTTACACTTTCTGAGGAGTGGATGGGGCAATGGGCAGGATTGAAGGGAGGTGGGGGGAGAGAAGAGGAGGGAGAGGAAACTGCGGTTGGTATGTAAAACAAAAAAAAATTTAAAAATCCTTTCATTGCCCATAAACCACTTGACAGACACTGGCACTCAAAATATATACTGGCTGTTACAACTAGGGCACCAAATTATCAGAACATGATGGAGGTATCAGAGACAGAACCAGAGAGTAGAGGACCATGTGGCGTGAGAGGGGCTGAGTTGTTGCTGGTGCCGGCGTTCAGCTTGACTTGAGTATAACCAACCAGAATGGTGGCAGCCATAACTGCCTGCCCTTCTGTAGCCTTCCTGGAAAGTTTCTCAGCAAAATCAAACACAGTGGAAACTTGATTTTTTTTTTTTTTTTTTTTTTTACTTTTTGAGATAGGGTCTCTCTGTAGCAGCCCTGGCTGTCCTGGAACTCGCTCTGTAGACCAGGCTGGTCTTGAACTCACAGAGAACGCCTGTCTCTGCGTACTGAGTGTGGGGATTAAAGGCATGAGCCACCTCTACCTGGCTTGGAATTTGAAGCTTTACAATTGCCTCCCAGCACCAGTACTGGGAACATGCTTGAATTTTTAAATCATTTATGGTTTGAAGGATCTTTCTCTTGTAGTTCAAGCAAGTCTGGAAGTCACTGAGTGACCCAGACTGGCCTCAAACTCAGACTGTTTCTGCTTCCTTGGGCACCTAAGTGGTCAGACGACAGTTTGAGTCACCATACTAGCTAGCACTGTCTTGTTTGTTCTGAGCGGATTTTGTTTTGTTTTGTTTTGTTTTGTTAGAGACAGGGTCTGTGCACATATATGGTTGGCCTGGCTATGTAGACCAGGCTGGTCCCACACTCAGAGCTCCACCTGTTTCTGACTCCTCTGCTGAGATGAAAACATGTACCTATCCTAACTTCGAAAATCATATCTGTGTGTGTGGACACACCCCTGTGCTTTCTGAAGTCAGAGGACAGCTTCAGGGACTCAGTTGTCTCTTTCTACCATATGAGTCCCAGGATGAAACCCCGGCTGTCAGCCTTTGTACTATACTAAGCTCATTTATCTATTGTGCCATCTTGAAAACGTAGGTTCTGGTCTTTTGATGGCCGCTGCAGCTGTACTGGTACAAACCGAGCAACACATGAACCTTCCAAAAGACTAGGGCTGATTTTCAAATGATGTTTTATTTGGGTCTGGACGAGACAGGGACATTCTAGCAAACCAGAAAGCCCTGGGTAGGTGGCAGGCTGCATTCCCACCAGGAGAGGCTTAAGGGTGTGTGGGGAAAGGTACAGACTAGAGGTCCTGGCCACTTCTCACTTCCTGGCTACATTGTCCTCTTTGGAACCTGCTTTGGAGGGAGCCCTGGAACTTTCCTCTGAGCCACTCCGAGAATGGATACTGAAGGCCGCGTTAGAGGTGGCATACGTGTAGTAGGACTCTGAGACCATGATGTTGTTAATCTTCCAGCGTAACGAGGCCCAGGCCTCCACTATGTGGGGCCAGATGAGGCAGAAGAGGATGTAGAAGACCACCAGGCCCAAAAGCAGACTGCTGGACACCTGTGGGCACAGCACGGCAGCCATGGGTGTGCAGTGTGGGATGAACCCTCCTGCCCCGCCCCATAGGGAAGCCTTTGACTGCCGCTCACGATGACGATAAAGAGGGACCGCTTGCCGCTGAGCGGTAGCCCATGAATGTGCAGTACGAAGATGAGCTTGTAGTCACAGTATGTGCTGGTGTCTACTCCTCTGATGAGGGAATGGAATCCAGAATTGGGTTAAGTTGTGTGGCATCATCCCATGGAACAGTCTCAGACACCCTCCCCGCACGCGCGCGCGCACACACACACACACACACACACACACACACACACACGGACTATACGCCTGGCTTACCTATTGCTCACCAACAACTTGAGGAAGAATTCAGGTGCAAAGATGCTTTGGGGAATGATGTCATGGCACGGGGAGTTCTCTAAACACAGCCACCTAGGAGTCCAAGTATAGGCAGCTGCAACACTTCACTTCAGTAAGCACCAGCTGAGTACAATCTCCATCTTCTCCAGGCTATTTGTCCCTTTTTAAGGGTGCTGCTATGACTGAGCTGGGCGAGCACTCTACTGCAGAACCATGCCTACTGTCAGCCCTTCCGTAGTGCCTTCCAGGCAAGGGTTCTCCCACTGAGTTGCTGCCTCAACCCCTTCACTGGTAAATGAAGCCAGAGCTCCCCCACTGAGCCACACCCCATCTAGGTCTCTGCCTTCTCCTGCCTACTCAGTCCACTCAAACAGAGATGCTGTCTGAGCACCTGCCAAGGGAACAGGCTGGTCCTTAACTGCCCACTGCCTCATTGTCTCCACCTGCCAATTCAGCCACCTGCTGGGCCGAGTGCTTACTGGGAACCACCTTCATTCCTCCACCCCACAAGCAGGGTCTGGACACAAGCTAGGCACAAACTCGCGTCTCTTCTCTTACTCCCTCTTGGCTACTGTTCAGTAAACCTGAACTAAGGACGAACTTGGGTGCAGTTGGCTAATTTGTTCATTTGCCACCTTGTGGTATCATGGCTTTCTTTTCGTTGACTCAAAGATGGTTATCAAGCCCTTACAAGCTATCAAACTCCGCTAGAGTAGATTCAGTCAGTAACAGCTCCATTGAACTGGCAATGGATGCTGACCATGCATTGGTTTGTCCCATCTTCACTTAAAAAAAAAAGTTATATTGGGGCTGGAGAGATGGCTCAGAGGTTAAGAGCACTGCCTACTCTTCCAGAAGTCCTGAGTTCAATTCCCAGCAACTACATGGTGGCTCACAACCATCTGTAATGAGATCTGGTGCCCTCTTCTGGCCTGTAGGCATACATGGAAGCTGAACCCTGTGTACATAATAAATAAATCAAAAAAAAGGATAACAACCAAAAATTATACTTAAAAAAGTTATATTGTGTCTACTCAAGAGCTGTGTAAAGGGGAGAGAGACCCTTCAAGAGAGAGTAACAGCTTAGATTGGTCAGGATGGAAATGTAAGGTGATCTGCAGGCGGAGGGTCAAAAGGGTGGGCAGTGCCAGCGAAGGCTCAGCGTGGGAAAGGTATGGACAAGTCCAGAGGAGCCGACTGCCCCTCTGGAAAGAAAGGGCTTGGATAACCTTGCTGAGAAAGGAGAGCGTGAGGCAAGGCCTGAGGACAGAATATGGGACCCAGGCTTCTAGCAGAGCCTCACTACACACATACAAAGGCTTGCCCTCCTTGGGAAACATAAACAGTGTGACTCCGGGAAAGCTCCTCAGAGACCACGCAGGAGCACAGGGGAGCCAGGGGGGCTCATGCAAAGAGCAAGGCCCAAATTCCAGAAAGCAGAGTACAGCAACCATCATTTTGAGACAAGGCAGAGCTACAGAGTGAGACTCTGTGTAAAGCCAAATCAAACCGACAGGGTGCTGGGGAAGTGGCTCAGTTGGTAGAATGCTTGCCTGGCATTCACCAAGCCTAGCACCCCATAAAGTGGTCTGGGGGTGCACACCTGTAATCCCAGAATTCAGGAGACAGAAATGGGAGAATGAGAACAAGGTCATCCTCAGCTAGATGGTAAATTCAAGGCCAGTCTGGGCTACATGAGAGGATAGCACCAAAACCAAACCAAACCAACCAAAAAAACAAACCTGGAGGGCAGAACTCTTGGGACTTACTCAATTCCCGGGCTCTGGTAGTTCATTATGTAGAACTTCTTGTCCGGAGTGGTTGTTTCAACCTTTGTTGTCCAGATGCGGCTATTGGTCCTGTGCAGGCCCCAATAATGTCAGGGTGGGTTGAGCACAACGCAGTTGTTGGCACCTAAGGGCGGGGCCCTGGTGGGCGGGGCTGGAGCCTTGGCCTGTCTGTAGGTCTAATCTGGGACACTGGGTGGGTGGGTAAGCTTTGCAGCAAGAGTCCCCTATTTAACTGGAAGTGGGAGGGGAGACCCGCAGACCGGACCCAACTGTGGGCAGGGACCCCAGAGTGATTACTTGTCCAGTGGACTGTTGTAATGGTAGATTTCCTCTTCCGTGTAATCTCTGATGGTGTCCAATGTGGGACCGCCACCCACAACCAGCAGCAAGTAACTGCAGAATGAAGAGAGAAACACGGAGCACCTAGGCTTCTGAACCCTGCACCTCCCTCTTCCTGTTTGTCAGGTACCTGTAGCCCCCAGCCAGCCTTTCCTCACCTGCCTAGGAAGCTGCCCGAAGCTCCCGTCACCATGTCTTGGATTAAGAAGAAGGGCTGAAACACTGTGAGTTGCAGAGGAGAAGAGGGGAGGAAGAAATTAGCTTTGTCCAGAGGGGAGCAGGAAGCAAGTGGAGGGGGAACTCGGGGTTGGAGCAGAAGGTGATGGGCTGTGGCGAAGGGAATGCAGGAGGGAAGTGGCCAGGACAGGAGGGCAGTGGACGTGGGAGAAGGGATGGGACACACAGTCACGATAGAGAAAGCATGGCATCTCGGGGTTCGACACCGCACAGTCGAAATAGTGTTTGTTTAAGTCCCGGGAGTACATGATCGTGTAGGTGATGTCGAAGGCCAGGCGCTTGCCAGGGGGACAGCCGATTAACACTGGCACCATCAAATGACCCTGGGAAGGAAAAAGACCTCCTGCTGGGGGGTGGCAACTCCAGCCCTGTGGCAACTCCACCCAACCTTCCACTCCCAATACCAGGCCCAGTACCCAAGTTCCAGTACTTGCATGTTTGCCCCACGGTATGTGGTCTGGAAGCATCTTCCAGAGGATCCCAACACCTGTGGGTAGGAGTGGCTGATGCTACGGATCCTAAGGGCCAGGGTCCCATCCCTATACCCTCCCCCAGGCTTGGACCATACTTTAACCATCAAGGAAGTCTTCTTGAGGTTATATCCACTGAGTCCCTGATCATAGCAGACCTTTTTGTCCTTGACTGCAATCTGAGGTAAAGAAAGGAGAGGCTGAAATAGAGGGATATCCAAAAATGCCCTCGGATCCAGAGCCATTGGAAGACCCGATAACTGGGGCTCAGAGGGGGCTAATAAGATCTGTGGCTTTCCACTAACTGTGCAGAGGACCAGAGGGACAGCACCTGTGCTCCTCTCTGGCCTCCTCACCTTGTAGAGCACTGCTTTGCGGTTAATAAGGACCTCCTGATTCACAGATGCCTCAAGGCATTCGGGATCAGCCACTGCCACAGCCACTGCCATATTCTTATCTATCTGGTAGCCAGACCCTGTCAGGGGAAGTGGGAGGGGCTTGAAGCCTGGAACCCACCCCCAGAGGCTCCTGGCCCCACCCTCGGTTGCCAAGTAGGCCCCGCCCACAGACCAGCGTTGGCGCTGAACTCTGCGGTGTCCCCGTGGGACGACAGGAAGACGGTGAAGCTAAACGAGTTGCCCTTGTCCAGGAAGACAATCTCGGGCAGCCCGTGTTCTTTGGAGACGTTGTAGAGCTTTTTGTAGCTGCTCATGTCGATGTACATGCCTTCCGCTGCCAGCCAGTTGCTGGACAGGTAGAAGTAGTAATCCTGAAAGCACCAGGTGGTCAGCCAGTGGATGCTGGATGGGACGCCAGCATTTCAGTGCTGTCCCTCCACCAATTCCCAACTCGTCCACCTACCTTAAACTGTGTTTTGTGTTCCCACCAGCGCCAAGTGGGATCGTGCACAGGGTCCGCGTAGGGCTGCGGGATGGTCAGACACCATGAGGTGACTGGGAGGAGGCAGACAGCTAACTCTAGGATTGGTTTCAGCTCCATAGCTCAGAGTAGGAGCTGAACCCCAGCCCGCCCCAGTACCCGTCTTCCTGTGTTTTGCGAGCTTGTCTCGGGGCCAGAAACCTTGCTTGTGTTTCCAAAGAAGCAGCCCAGGAAGTTTTCACTGAACCGTGGTCTGATCGGACTAGACTGGCTGGCCAGTGAGTCTCACTGTTCAAGTCCATCTCTGCTTCCCCAGGGCCGGGATTAGAGACCAACCCAGCCCTCACACACAGCTTTTTCTGTGGGTGCCGTGATTCGTACTCAGGGTTTGTGCATCATCTCCCCGGTCCCTTGTTTTGTTCTATGCCTGGTTGGTTTCGGGTTTTTTGTTGTTGTTTCTTTTATTAATTTTATTTTATTGATACAGGGTCTCACTACATAGCCTGGCTGTCCTCCAGCTCAGCATGTAGACCAGGTTCTGTCGGCCTCTGCCTCTAGAGTGCCCCGATAAGGTATAAGGGCTGCACATCAGTCCTCCCCACACATTCACAGACACAAACAACTTTTTTTTTGTTTTTGTTTTTGTTTTTTTTTTCAAGATAGGGTTTCTCTGTAGCTTTGGAGCCTGTCCTGGAACTAGCTCTTGTAGACTAGGCTGGTCTCAAACTCACAGAAATCCACCTGCCTCTGCCTCCAGAGTACTGGGATTAAAGGCGTGTGCCACCACCGCCTGGCACTTTTTTTTTTTTTAAATGGCAGGGTCTCATGTAGTCAAGGCTGGTCTTGAACTTCTGATCTCTGAGCTTTCTGCCTCCACCTCCCAAGTGCTGAGATTATAGGCATGGGCCAGCATGTGTAACCTAAACCTGGCTTCTTGATTTTTAATCCAAGGGCCTCACCCCTAAGAACCACTCTGAAGTCCAGCTCAAACCTTTTGCCTCTGCCCCGTCATCCTCTGTGTGTTTGAACTTCAGGCTCTAATCTGGCTGCACTACCCCGTCAAGCTCACCCCTCCAGGTGCCCACCTTGTCATACTTGGAGTGGAGCCACAGCAGGTAATAGATGAGCCCTTGATAGACGGCAAGTGTCTTATTATTGTGGAAGCCCTGGGACTCGGAGACCAGAGGTGGTGGAGCATGGTAGATCTCCTGACGTGAAAGATGCTGTGTTTTGGGCAGGTCACGTAGACGCATCACCTTGAAAGGGCACATACGGGAGAAGGCGAGCATCCTGCGGTTCCTGGGCAGCAGTGGGCATACAAGGGGAGATAGATGCTGATACCTCTGGAATATCAGGAGCGTCCCCAGATCTTTATTTCCCCACTTCTGAGTTGCTAGTTCCCTAAATTTATCCTGGCTTGTAGCAAACTCCGTTCAGACCCTCATGTTCGGCACTCTCTGACCACACTCTGGTGGCTGTCTCTCAGATGAGAGCCGCCTCCTCCACCTTCAGTTCCCCAGGGATCTCTACTCAGAGTCTTCTCCACTCAGCCCAGTTAGGTCCCTTGCCTTGCTTCCACCCCAACCAACCGCCATGTGCTTTTCTGGTTCCACCCTCTGCAGGTGCTTAGAAGCCCCCTCCCCCAGTCTCACTAGTAGCCCAGAGTAGCCTTGAACTGCAAATTCTTTTGTAACCTTGCTCTTGCTGAGAATGCAGCCATCAACCATTGCTGGAGTCTGTCGGTTACTGAAGGACTAGATGCCGGTCCTCTTTAGGGCTTTTATGAGTGAGTAAGGCTGTCTCCTCTAAGTTCCCTTTCCCGCTTCCTCCTCATAATTCCCCTGCACCCTCTCACCATGGCCCCCTCCTCCCTGATGACCAGCCGCACCACATTCCTCCTTTGAGCTTTGCTCCCTGCAGAGCGCCTAAGCATCTGCATCCCAGGCGATCCTTAGGGTGTCTCTTGCTCCTGCCCCTTGCCTAGGAGCTCTCAGACCTTTTCAAGGGCCCCGTCTTCTCACCCATCCTTCAGCAGTATCTGGGGGTTGTTCTGGTCAAACAGCAGCACCTGCGCCACGGGCAAGACCCTCTTGACCAATCGTTTATTCCCGGTGGCGTGAAGATATACCAACTGGGGCAGAAGCAGGCAGGTAAGCTGGTGGGAACCTCCTTGTGGTCCCCACCTGCGCCCCATCTCCGCCCTACCCTCCACCACCCTCGGCTACCTGGTAGAGCTCCCCATCTTCATAGAAGATGGAGACCAAGAACTCTTGGTCTGCATAGAGGGAAGACTGCTCCATCTTCTGTAGGTTAAAGAAGATGCTCCAGCCTCTGGATGGGACCAGGCGGTAGACATCATAGCCACCTTCCAGGAAGTACCAGATCTGTGGACCAGCAGTCGTTACCCTCTCTGAGTTCCAGGGCCCAGTTACAGATAGAGCTTCTACTGACATTATCTTGGGATCCCTTAAGGGTGTTCACCGTGACAGGACAGGAGGGTTTGGTGGTGAACAAGGAGGGCTTGGAGAGAACAACAGGGTAGCTCACCTCATCTGTTTCTGTGACAAAAGCCATGTCTCCTTGGTAAGAGTTGACCATGTATTTGATGGTGGAGTCCCTGGGGAAGTCCGCCAGATAAATGAAGTGTAACCTATTGTAGCTGGAAAGACAGAGAGAGGGAGCCCAGAGAATGGGGACAGGCCAGTGTCCTTGGACGCCTGCATCTCCCATAGTCTAGCACAGGACTCACTGTCTGCAGGTGCTGTAGACAATAGTGAAGGGACCCCTAATGCCAGTGTCAGCTTCCACCATGCATTGGAGTGTCCTTGTGCCCTTGGATCCCCAACTTCTTTTCTCTGATCTTTTGGGATCCCAGGACCCAGCTCTCTGGCCTAGGACTTCAGTAAAAGCACCATCTTGCCTACAAATGAAGTTCCAACGTCATACAATTTAAGCCCTGGATCCAGACATGCCTAAAGCTGACTCTCAATCATTTTAAATAGATTCTTTGTGCTTAAATAATTTTTTAAAGATTTATTCATTATGTATAGAATGTTCTTCCTGCAGGCTACAAGAGGGCACCAGATCTCATTACAGATGGTTGTGAGCCACCATGTTGTTGCTGGGACTCGAACTCAGAACCTCTGGAAGAGCAGTCCATGCTCTTAACCTCTGAGCCATCTCTCCAGCCCTCCCCCTGCCCCCCTTTTTTTTTAGTTTTTCATGACAGGGTTTCTCTGTGTAGCTCTGGCTGTACTGGAACTTGCTCTATTGACCAGGCTGGCCTTGAACTCAGAGATCCACCGTCTCTGCCTTCCAAGTCCTGGGATTAAAGGCCTGCACAACCGCTGCTCGCACTTCCTGCTCTTACAGGTAGGGTCCAAGCACCCTTTGACTCCAGCCCCAGGGTTTCTAATGCCCTCTTCTGGCCTCCATAGATACCTGTACTCCTATGTGTAGGCCACCACACAGACACACAGACATACACATAATGAAAATAAAATAAAACTTTACTGGGTGTTATGGCACATGCCTTTAATCTCAAGCACTGGACAGAGGCAGAGGCAGATGGATCTCTGTGAGTTCAAGGCCATCCTGGTCTACATAGTGAGTTCCAGGACAGCAAGGGCTACATAGTGATATCTGTCTCAAAAACAAACAAATAAAAATTATTTATATAAATAAATATGTGGGGGGTCCCTGGGAAGATGGCTTATGCCTACCTTTGCAGAATGAAGTTACCCCAGATGTACAGCATATTGTTGAACGTGTTGAAGAACAGGCCCTTCGGTATCATCAAAGTGTTGGTGTAGGTCTCTGTCCCATCTAGCACCAGGAAATCCAAATCGTGACCTGACCACAGCAAAGAAAGAAAGGGTGTGGTGTGGAGGAGGAGCATAGGCAGTAGCCTGGGCTCTTCCTGGCCACTGCCCACCCCAGAAGCCACCCTCACCCTCTAGTCCTACCTTCTGGGATAAACCTTGATAGTGTGTAGAGAATGCTCAATGTCTGGTTCTCTGAAAGGAGGAAAGCAACACTTTGAGAGCTGAAGACCTCTCCATATCTGAAAGAGGGCACAGTTGCCAGCTCTGCGATCCTCACACACACTGTGTAGGCAACTGGGCAAGGGGGCACTTTAACCCCAGCACTCAGGACGCAGAGACATGTGCGCCTTTGTGAGTTCAAGGACAGCCTGGTCTATATGAGGAGCTCCAGGCCAGTTAGGATAACATAATGAGACCTTGTTTCAAAAAGTAAATGAATAAATACAGATTCCCACCCATCTTAAAGATTCTACTGACTTTCCATTTAGGGTTGATTTATTATATTTAGTGTGTGTGTGTGTGTGTGTGTGTGTGCGCGCGCACGCGTGTGTGTATACAAATGCACATTCCACAACAACAGAGGACAACTTTCAGGAGTCAGTTATCTCCTTTTACCATTGGGTCCTGAGAACTGAGCTTACGTTTTCGGGCTTGGTAGCAAGTGACTGTTCCCACTAAGTCATCTTGGTAACTCTGTGCTATAGAGATGAATACTTTGTATTGGTAGGGATCTTAATCTATTGATACAAATTTAAGTCCAATTTTGTTATATTTCTGCTCTTGATTAAGGTATTGTGTTTGTACAGCACATTTAAAAGTATCACGTATAATTAAGAAATACAGGTCAGTAGACAGTCTTCTATAAAAGTCAAGCTTGTAGTCGTGTTTGTTAGGTTTTCTAGATGTACAAAGATATATTTCAGAAGGATAGATATGCTTCAAATCTTTCAAAGACTAACAGAATATAGCATTTAAAATGTTTAAGAACTTAGGAGTTTTCATGACAATGAGACACAACTGCATCTGGCAGCACCAATCTACTTCAAGAGGATGGTGGACATTGAAGAGGCTCCTTATGGAGTTTGTTAGCCATTTGGGCAAGAAACTGCTCTTGCCTGGACTGCTTGATGTTATGCTGTATGAAATGGACATGCAGGACCCACAGAGAAATGACTGCTGAGCTTGCCTAAAGGTGACACAATCCTTTACGGTACCTGTTTCATGAAAGAGTCTGCTAGACATTCTGCAGGATACAGAAAAAAGTGACTGACAAACTGCCAATATAGGTGGAAATGTCTTTGAAATTTCCTGATTCATGGAAAGGCCTGCCAGATGCTATGGGCCTGTAGGTTAAATATTGGGTGCCCCAGGATACATAAAAACTCTGGGTGACTGTCTAGGCAGTGAGATGTCTCTGTCAATTTTAGAGTTTTTGAAGTTGCTTACAATGCACTTCCTGCTTACTTAGGTAATATTTTATCCTTCTGTAGTCTTTGATGAAGTTGAGAATAGATAGTTGTTATTATAGTTTTCCTTAGTTATGATAAAAGATAAAGTAAATATAAATATTTTAACTGTAATTCTTGCTTGATACCTGTTTTGTTATATGTAATTTAACTTTGCTAATGTTAAAACCTTCCTTTTTATTTAGACAGAAAGAGGAGATGATGTGGGATTCCCCTCTGAATCCTTTGAATATCACTGGTTAACAAAGAAGCTGATTTGGGCCTATTGCAGTGCAGAATAGGGCAAGGCAGGAATTCCAGGCAGATAGAGGATGAAAGGAGGCAAAGTAAGAGAAAAGCCATGTAGTCATCACAGGAGACAGACGCTGAATGGAACCTTACTGAGTTGCAATACACAGACTAACAGAAATGGGTTAATTTAAGATATAAGAACTAGTCAATAAGAAGTGTAAGCTATTAGGCCAAGCAAGCAGTGTTGTAATAATAGTTTCTGTGTGGTTATTTGGGTCTGGGTGGCCAGGACTGAATGAGCAGTCTCCATCAACATCCCAGAATATCAATATCATTGTGTGTGTGTGTGTGTGTGTGTGTGTGTTCCAGATCCAGCTTTCTGTCTCTTTTTTTTAAATTTTTTTTATTATTTATTATGTATACAATATTCTGTCTGTGTGTATGTCTGCAGGCCAGAAGAGGGCACCAGACTTCATTACAGATGGTTGTGAGCCACCATGTGGTTGCTGGGAATTGAACTCAGGACCTTTGGAAGAGCAGGCAATGCTCTTAACCACTGAGCCATCTCCCCAGCCCTCTGTTCCCTTCTTTATTCTTCCTCCTTGTCCTCCTATTTCTCTCTGAGACACGCAGGCTTCCCCAGCCCACTCTAAGAGCTAAGAGCAGAGTGTTTGGTATGGACATACAACCCACAGTCTAGGCTCTTACATGTTCCCTCTTGACCTCCAGACAACCTGATTACCTGTGTTAAATTTGACTAGGTGAAAGACCTTAACAGAAGCCGAGAAGGCCTCCACTAACAACATCAAGGCCTTCTCATCAGCAATGTATATAGCCCAGTTGATGGAGCAGTTTGAACCTGTTGGGAGAGAGCAGAAACTAAAGCAATCCAGGCCCTGATCTCTCCCCCAGAACCCTTCTCACCCTCCTCAGAGGCCTCCCACCCTCCAACCCAGATCCCACCAAAAAATGAGTACCTGGTATCCTATCACACATTGACCAGCCATCCGGCACCATCCGAAAGGTCACGAGGCCATCTGTGGATCAAATCAGGTCCCATGCTCAGGCCCTTTTTTAGTCCACCAGCATCTGTAGGGCATCCCACCCAACCAGCACCCCATCAGCATTCCCACACATTGAAACTCTTAGTTCAGAGAGTCTAGGGACTAGGTCTGCCTTCCAGCTTCCTCATCCCTGCACTGATAAAGGGTCTCAGAAATGTTCTTAGATTTGGCAATGTGACCAATGGTAGCCAATCCTAGTGCAGCCCGTGGCTGGTACTTAGGGTTATTGAAGCGAGGTGTGGTGGTGCACACTGGGGATCCCAGGTCTCACTCACTGCTAGATTCCACGCAAGTTCTCGAATGCTGAGCCAAGCTCTGGCCCCGGTTTTGTCTTTTAGCTCAACATGGCTTCCACCTTTTTTATCCTTCTGCCTTAGCCTTCCAAGTGTTGTGACTACGTGTGTACACCACCATGCCCGGGGAAGTTTTGTAATCTTTATATCAACCCAAAGACACAGACTCTTGTGTCGTCATCTGGTCCCATGTTTACAGATGGGAACGTGATCCACAGACACAGGGCTCCACAGAGCAGCGCGTGGAGTGTGAGTCGCATCCAGTCACTGTGGGATGCAACAACAGGCACTATCAGCACTCTTGCAAACAAACAAAAACAAAGAAAAGCCAAACATGCCTTTTCAGTCGGGCCTGGCAGATGCCTGACCGGAAAGTGAAAATAGGACAAGCCCTGACTATTGGTCCAGGCCTTTAATCCAAGGGGCAGAGCAGGGGGATTTAAAGCAACCTTGGACTGCATAGTGAGTTCAAAGACAGCAAGTTACATACTGAGTTCATGTCTCAAAAAATAAACAAACAAACAAATGAAATGAAAATGCAGAAAGATGACAATGGCACCTCCATGACTCTCTGACAATGGAGAAATTGGGTCAGATTCCTGTTTAACACTGCATCGAGCATGCAATAACTTTAGATTTATTTGTTTTCGGTGTCTGAGTGGTTTGCATACCTATCTGTCTGGGTACCACCTGGGTTCCTGGTGCTGGAGGAGGCCAAAAGAGAACTTCAGAATGTTCTGGTGGAAGCTGCACCTCAATCCCCCTCCCCCATCTCTCTCTCCCCAAACCCTATCTCATCTCTGAAAGCCCTTCAAATATGGCTCCTCCCACTGAGATGTTCAAGACCACTCCCACAGAGTGTTTAAACTGCTCCCCTGAAAACAGACATGCGGTTTTTTGGTCTCTCTTCTCCATCTCCTCTCTGGGGGCCAGAAAATGATCTGGGAGTGTTTTAACCATTAAACCCGGGCTTTTCCTAATTCAGTTTGATTTGGCGTGATTTGGCTTGCTGCATTGGTGTGAGGCTTATTGTGGTGCAAACTTTTCATCTGGAGGCTCCACCGAGGGGCTGATTTTCCCTACCAGGCCCTGGGCCTCATGGTGGCCAAACACCCTTCTACCACACACCTGCTCTTCACCAGACTAAGAAGGCTTTCAGCTGGGTAAGTTGTCCTTCCAAGTCATTGCCTTAGAAGCCTGGGGCCTCCTCTGATTTTTGGGGTATCCTGCTAGAGACGGGGCTGTGCCAGGCCCCCAATCCATTACCAGAGCAAAGCCCTGCCTTTGTTTCACGGAACCATTCTTCAGAAGACATTCTGTTCATGTAAATATCCCACACACCCTTTTTTTGACCCAAAGCCTACCACAGTGGATGCATTGCACTAGGCTTCGGGTCCCAGCATAGACTTGTGAAATGGGCACCTGCAATTCAAAGCCAGATCCCCAAACACCTGTGGGGTGTCTTCTACAAAATCTACTCAATTGGGGCTGTCTGACATCATATATCCTGAACGCCTGATTTCTCTGTGCACTAAGTCCTGACCACAATATGCTCTTGATAACCAATCAGGATGACCACCAGAGGGAAACTTAGAATTTTCTGTGCTCTATAGTCTTGACAATTTTTGTCAGGGTAAAGTTAAGTGCCTTCCACAGGTTTTGGGTTCTGCATTCTCACCCTCCCTACAGCAGCCAGTGTCCCATGGCATTGGTCTTGTTGGCTAAGGTCGGGGCACCTCCAGATTTGCCTATCTGGGAACGGGGACCCTGAAATTCTGCTCTGACCATGATGCCAGAGACATGGGCCCCTCCCTCATTCCCCTCAGCCCTGCTTACCCATCCCCCTCCTACTTGCCACAGGTTCCTTCAGGTGGCCAACATTCCCCACATCCTCCCTCTATCCACCCTCATCCCTTCTTCCCCTCTGGGAAAAGGTCCAAAGACCAAATTCCTCCTCCTTTTTACCCACCCTTCCTGTTCTCCCCTCCCTCCTACTGTCCCTTATCCCCCACCAATGCCACAAGCTACATCCTCATCCCCTTCTACACACTGGCCTAACTCCGCCACCACCCCAATCCTCCCAGATGTCTTCTCATGCCCAGTCTCGCCAGACTGCCCTCCTCTGCCCTCTCTGGAGGTAGCTGGAGCCCATGGAATTGTTTAAGTCCACATTCCAGTCTCTCTTCAGGACTTCTCACAAATAGAAAAGTGGCCGGGTTCCTTGGACTGCTAATCCTTCTGTTTATATTAAGGAGTTTTGCTATCTGTCCCAGGCCTACTATCTGGCCTGGCATGACCTCTCTGCCATCCAGGCCTAAACTCTCACTCCCACGGAGTGAGGTCCTGTTCAGGCAACAGCTAGACAGTATGCAAACCAGACCCACCTAGGGGACAATGTGGTCCCTTTGGGTGACATGGCAGTGCCAGTTACAAAGCCCTACTGGGACTACCAACTGGGTCAAAGTGGCCATCAGAGGAGAGACCTCACAGTTTGTTGCCTCCTCCAAAGTATGGAAATGGTCTCAGTTGTTAATTTTGATGAACTCTGAAAGATTACACAGCTGATGTGGGAGGGTCATCTGTCTATGTGTTACTTTCATTGGTTAATAAAGAAACTGCCTTGGCCCTTTGATAGGACAGCAGCTTAGATAGGCGGAGTAGACAGAACAGAATGCTGGGAGAAAGAAGCAGATTCACACAGACGCCATGATTCTTTGGATGTAGGCTAGAATCTTTCCCGGTAAGCCATCACTTTGTGGTGCTACACAGATTATTAGAAATGGGTTAATCAAGATGTGAGAGTTAGCCAATAAGAGGCTACAGATAACGAGCCAGGCAGTATTTAGAAGAATGCAGTTTCCATGTAATTATTTCGGGTGTAAAACTAGCTGGGTGGTGGGACGCAGACCTCCGGAAGCGGCCTGCAGCTCCTTCTACACACAGCTAGCTGACACAAACCTATCTTTCTAAATCATGGACGAGAGTCCATAGTTTAATGTACTCGACTTGACCCAGCATCCCTGATGTGAACCACGGCCTGGCCACCCATTTCATTTCTCAGTCAGCACCAGATACCAGCAAGAAATTAAAAAAGGCTGAGGAGGGTCTCCAAACTCCCACACAGGAATTGGTGGAAACGGTTTTTAGAATTTGTAATAACTGAGATGAGGCAGTTGAATCCTCCTGTTAGACAAGGCTGCAACAAGAAGGCTATGCCCGGGCTGGAGAGATGGCTCAGTGGTTAAGAGCATTGCCTGCTCTTCCAAAGGTCCTGAGTTCAATTCCCAGCAACCACATGGTGGCTCACAACCATCTGTAATGAGGTCTGGTGCCCTCTTCTGGCCTGTAGGCATACATGCAGACAGAATATTGTGTACATAATAAATAAATAAATATTTAAAAAAAAAAAAAGAAGGCTATGCCCAAGCCTTAGCAGCTTCCCCGAGGGACCCCCACAAGTCAACTCAACAAGAAGCCTGCTTCAAATGCAGCCAAGAGGCTCACTAGCCATGATATTGCCCTGCCCCCCCCCAGTCGAGGCCATGCAGTCTGCCTTCTGCAGACAGCCTGGACACTGGAAATCAGAATGCCTCCGTGTAGGCCACACCACAGAGGTCCAACCTCACCAGCACCGGCATCTGAGACTCTTCCAACCTTCCAACTACACAGCCTGGTGGAAAACTGGCGTGACCCAGACTTGATGATCCCCATTGACTTCCCTGAGCCTAGGGTAATGCTGCAGGTAACAGGTGAGTCCATTGACTGTCTACTGGACACGCAGCTTCTTACTCTGTTTTAACATCTCACTGGGATCCTAAAGTTCCCTTGTCGACTTCTGTCATGGGGGTAGACAGGACCCGCTCCTTCCCACTCAAGACCCTGTCCCTTCCTGCATTCTTGCAGGGCAATTCTTCCCACACACTTTCCTGGTCATGCCTGCTTGCCCTGCACCCCTACTTGGTGGTCATATTCTCAGCCACTTTGGAGCCACACTCACCTTGGCCCCCACACCCTCTCCTGAGCCCCACTTTCTTTTCCTCTTAATAGCTTCTCAAGTTCCTACCCAAGGCTGTCCTTCCCAAATCCAGTGGATCCCCAAGGATGGGATACCTCAACTCCAGTGTACAGCTCACCACCAGCCAGTTCTAATTCACCTCAAGGACCCTTCTTCCTTCCCTTCCAGACCCTAGTTTCCTATTTCTGAAATGCCTTCTTTACTGTCCCCTTACAGCTTGACTCATACTTCCTCTTTGCCTTCACCTGGGAAGACCCTGACACCCGTCCTCTAGACAGCTTACATGAGCTGTTCACCTTCAGGGCTTTTGGGACAACACCCATTTCTTTGGCCAATCTCTGGCTTAGGATCTTTCCACCTTTGACCCCAGAACCAGCACACATCCTATGTAGACCAGAATGGCCTCAAATCCTGCATGCCATGCACACATGAGGAGGTCAGAAGGACCACTTCTGGGAGGAGTTGGCTCTTTTCTTCCATCATGTGGGCCCCACCCAGGGATTGAATTCAAGTCCTCAGGCTGAGCAAGTGATTTCCCTGCTGAGCCACCTTACCAGCCCTTCACACGCATTGCTCTGTTTACTATGTGAGTGGTCTCTCCAGCTAGCTTTGTGTTTTATTTTGAAATAAGGGTCTCACTGTGGCCTTGCCTGGCCTTGAACTTCTGATGCTTCCACCTCCACTTCCCACGTGCTGGGATTGCAAGCGAGCATTGCTCCATCCAGCTCTGCTGATCTGATTTTTGAGTTGGGTTTCTGTCCCTTAAAGCCAAAGACTTCATAGAAAGAACCTAACACTGTTCAAGTCTGATCTCCACACATACAGATCCATGTCCACACACATGGAATAAGCCTGAGCCTGCCACCTCTCCTGAGGACACATGGCAAGGAACAGGAACCCTCAGTGAAAGAGTGTAGAGATTGTCTTCTGAGTTTCCAAAACACACAGGCTTTTACCTGTGATGGTCCCGAAGTGAACGTAACCTTCATTCTTGCCAGTGGTGAGGGCCAGGATGTACTCAGAGCCATTGCCACTGACGAATACAGGGCACAGTTTCTTGATGCACTCATTGGCCAGGACACGAACCCAGCTGCCTAAGGGGGCAAGCATGGGCAAGCAAAACCAGGTGGTCAGGCTGGTCACTGGATCCCCAGTCCCCTTCCTTCCAATCTTGCAAACCCATTACTGTCCTCTTAGCCTGGAGCAACATGTCAGTGTGGTATTGGGGGTCATTTTTGTGACCCCTTCCCTCATCCTTTACCTCTGAGTCCTAGTCTGCTATGACCAGCTTTGGTTTTATGAGACAGGGTCTTACACTGTAACCTTAGCTGGCGTCAAACTTCCTATGTAGTCTAGGCGAATCTCAAACTCTCCAGCTACCTGCTGCAGCTTCCCAGACGATGAGATGTAAGGTGCATACCAGCACACGTGCCATCCATGAGGTCTAGGTGAGCTCACCCCTCCCTTGTGCCCCCCTGGTTCTGAAATGAGTGTTGGACAGAGTGTGGCAAACAAGAGACCCTCCCAGCTTGTAGCCACTCATAAAAAGGTTCCCTGGGACTACTAAGGGACAGAGAAATGGACAGTAGCTGGGTGTGGGTAAGAATCACCATGGGTCAGCAAGGAGACCAAGGGTTACAATGAGTCCCTGGGTAGACACACCTATGCCCAAAGCCATAATGCTCATGGTTTTCTCATTCAGGAAAGCCAATAAATGGACAGACCCTATTTTTTGGGAGAGAGAGAGAGAGAGAGAGAGAGAGAGAGAGAGAGAGAGAAAATTAAAGCAGTTTTCACTAAGTTTCCCAGGCTTTCTGGAAGGTAATTGCCCAGAACTGGAAGTTCTCAAGTGCTAGAATCACAGAGGACTGCAATCCCATCACCCATGTGTGTGCTCCCCCATCTCCAGGGTCTCATCGACCCAGATTCACCTTCAGTATAGCCGGGGATGAATCTGATCCCCTGCCTCTGGCTCACAAGTGTTGGGATGACAGGTGCATGCCATAATGATGCCTGGACATTCTCCTTTCTAGTCAATGTTCTTCTCGGTTTTGTTTCTCTAACCCCACATCTTCCCCAGCCCTCCCATCCCCAGCCCAGTTTTCTCACTGCTGCTGTGGCTCTTATCGAAGAGCGTAGTGTATCTGCCTGTGAAATAGTAGACGAGCTGGTTCTGTCGAATGAAGAGCGTGCTCTCGGTGGAAATAGCATCATGAATGGTGGCTGAGAACTGGAGCATGGGGCAGTAGTAGGAGCCAACCCAGCAACTGTCAATGCTCAGCTGCAGAGGGGCAGAGAATAGGTGAGCCATGTGGTTGAGGACTCAGCCTCCAAGCCCTGTCTCGGGGAAAGTGTTCTTTTGTTGTTGTTGTTTGTCTTTTGAAACATGTTGTGGGAAATTTGTGCACTGTGTGAAGATGTGTTGTTACTGGTATAATAAAAAGCTAAACAGCAAAGAGCTAGGCAGGAGAGTATAGGTAGGAATTTTGGGTAAGAGAACTAAGAGAAGAAGAAAGCAGAATTTGCCAGCCAGACACAGAGAGGAAGCAGGAAGTGAGGTATGAAGGGGAGGTAACAAGCCACATGGCAGAACATAGATTTAAAAATATTGGATAAAAAAAATATTGGATAATTTGAGTTATAAGAGCTAGTTAGGAACAAGCCTAAGCTAAAGCCAGCATCCATAATTATTAAGTCTCCATGTCATTATTTGGGAGCTGGCTGGTGGTACAAAGAAAGACTTATTATATATGACACCCAATGTGGGGCCACAGATATCCACATAAATTCCAAAAAATCTAGAAAAAGGGTCTTAACATTGAGTCAGACACAGCTTCCTGGCCTGGTTGACCAAGGTCTTTCAAGTAGGCTCAGTACCCATGACTTACATGCAGCTCTTTTAAGAGGCCCTACTACGGCTGGCAGTGGTGGCACGTGCCTTTAATTCCAGCACTGGGGAGGCAGAGATAGGCCAATCTCTGTGAGTTCAAGGCCAGCCTGGTTCACAGAGTGAGTTCCAGGAAGGCTCCAAAGCTAGAGAGAAACCCTGTCTCAAAAAAAGCACAAATAAATAAACAAGAAAAGAAAGAAAGAAAGAAAGAAAGAAAGAAGGAAAGAAAGAAAGAAAGAAAGAAAGAAAGAAAGAAAGAAGGCGAGCCTGCTATGTAGCAGAGCACTGAATGGTTCCCTACCAGTGGGAGCCCAGATAGAATAGAAACACAAAAGTTTCCCAGAGCTGGGTTAGCATGGCTGAGACTCTAGACAAAGAGGGTGCAGCCAGCCAACAACACCATGTCTGTACTAAGCTAGTCACGCTGCTGAGGACCTAACAGATTATGTATAACACATGGAGTTCAGACCTTAAATGGTGCTTTGTGAATTTTAATTCTTTAAATGGTAATAAACAGAAAATGCCAACTGCTGAGAGACATTAGATTGTGAAAGGAACTGCAAAATTAAACCAACTTACATACTTTAGGGATGTCTTGACTTCAAAATAAAAATCAGGATATGTGAGCCGGGCGATGGTGGCGCACGCCTTTAATCCCAGCACTCGGGAGGCAGAGGCAGGCAGATCTCTGTGAGTTCGAGGCCAGCCTGGTCTACAAGAGCTAGTTCCAGGACAGAAACCAAAAACTACAGAGAAACCCTGTCTCGAAAATAAAAAAAAAAAAATTAGGATATATGTTTTGTTGGGGGAGAGGGTGTGCTTTTGTTTCCACAGAAATGAAAAGCTATAGATTTCTTTAAAAGTAATAAAGATCAGATTTGATGGGGGCTGGAGAGATGGCTCAGTGGTTAAGAGCATTGCCTGCTCTTCCAAAGGTCCTGAGTTCAATTCCCGGCAACCACATGGTGGCTCACAACCATCTATAAAGAGGTCTGGTGCTCTCTTCCGGCCGGCAGGCATACACACAGACAGAATATTGTATACATAATAAATAAATAAAATAAAATAAATCAGATTTGATGCAGGGGGGGGACTTCCAGAGGTTTGGGCTACAGACATAAGGGGAAAAGTCATAAAAGACTACAGAGCAGGTGATGTGTATACTGATCCATCTACATGGGAACAGCTCTGACTGTATGGGACATGACAAATCTTGTTGGCTACAGAACCCTCGTGACGTCTTATGGCATGTATGGAGATTTATACTACAGTTTGGTTATACAGTCCAAACAGACTTGTAAAGTTGATGGGCGCCTTTTACCTGCTCAAACATGAAACAAATCATCTTTACAAAGTCTCAACAGTCTGCATCCAGAACAACTTCCAAGCAGCTGAGATGATGCAGCCTCCCAGACTACACAGCCAGGACTTCAGAGCAGCCCTGCACTTTCCCATCACACAAAGACTAAACAAACAAACTAACTAACTAACTAATAAATAAAAAAACTAGCTCTCCCAGGACTTGACCATTATCCCAAATTTCTCAAGATCCCCTAAAAATGTCATCACCCCCAGACAACAGGATGCAGTCTAGAGGGCATGGTGCCCACATTCCCAAGAGGTGGGGTAGGTAGTTTTTGGTCATTTGGTGAGTTATGAAGGTTTGTCATTGTTGACAAACAATGTTGGTTGCAAGTTGTTATTGGACATAATCAGAGAGGAAACTAAGCAAAGGAGATTAGATTCAGGGATCTCATTATGAAAAGAAAAAAGGGGTAGGGGATTATGGGGAAAAAAGGGTAGATTATTGAATCACTATTTTTAATAGATTTTCTTGAGCTATACATTTTTGTCTGCTCCCCTCCCTTTTGAATCTACTTTTGAACTAATAAAATCCTACTAATCTCAAATATTTTAATTGATTTTGATTTTTGTATATTGATAGAAATGTAAGACTTTTTGTTAGAACATACTATATATATATATATATATATGTTTCTGCTCTTTTTTTTCCTTTTTGGTTTTTTTTTTTTTTTTTTCGAGACAGGGTACAGGGTTTCTCTGCAGCTTTTTGGTTCCTGTCCTGGAACTAGCTCTTGTAGACCAGGCTGGCCTCGAACTCACAGAGATCTGCCTGCCTCTGCCTCCCGAGTGCTGGGATTAAAGGCGTGCGCCACCACCACCCAGCTTTTGGTCTTTTCATGACAGGAATTCTCTGTAGCTTTGGGGCCTTTGGAGCCTATCCTGGAACTCACTCTGTAGAACAGGCTGGTCTTGAACTCATGGAGATCCACCTGTCTTTGCCTACCAAGTGCTGGGATTAAAGGCATGTGCCACTGCCCAGTATGTTTTAATCTTCTTTCTACAATAACATATTATACCTATGCAGATCATTTAAAAATATAATGTAAAGTTCAACTTCTTGAAAATTATTATCATAAACTATAAGATAATTAAAAATGTAAGTTAATAACAATCAAATTTGTCACCATGTTAGGTATGTTTTCAAGGTCAAACAGAAATATATTTTAGATAGATAGATGGTCTTCAAACACTTCAGAGGCCTACAGAATATGGCATTTAAGATGTTTTAATAACATAGGCTTGTCATGACAATGAGACACATCTGCTCCTAGCAGCACCAATTTACTACAAAAAATAATGATGGGCATCGAAGAGCCTCCATATGGAGTTTGCTTTCTTCAACCACCTGTAACTTCAGCTCCAGGAGACCCAATTCCAAAGCTATCTCCTGGCCTCCTTTGTTACTCACACATATACAGGACATTTTTTTTTAAAAAATGTATTTTTTTAAAAGATTTGAACCTGTTTCCTTGCATTAAAATTTTTCTTCATAGCCTGTTGCTGAAGATTGGGCATATCTTTGGGGTCCCATTCTGTAGCCTCACACCCCTTCCAAGGTCTGCCTGGCATCACTCACCTCAATGAGAGAGTAGTCCTGGAAATTAGTGTCTGAAAGCAAAATGACCTTTTCATTTTCAATTCCGCCAAGGATGAGCACAGGCGAATGGTTTACAGTGTACCACAGGGGTCTCGACTTTGAACGACTAAAGAGAGCACTCTTCACCATTGAGCTCTGTCAGAGGAGCAGAAATGCCATTCAGCCTTCCCTTGCCTGATCTCACACACACCAAAGCCTCTGTAATTTGCTGCCACCTCCCTAACTCACTCCTGCCACTTTGCCCTCACTCTAGCCCAGTCCTATCAGGGGCCTCTTCCTTTTCAGCTCACCCCAGGGACTTTGCACCAGATGCCTCTTTATTCCTTCTCCTTCTTTCATTCTCCTTTTTTTTTTTTTTTTTTTAGATTTATTTAGTATGTGTTCAGTTTTCTGCCTGCATGTATCCCTTAAGGCCAGAAGAGGGTACCAAATCTCATTACAGATGGTTGTGAGCACATGTGGTTGCTGGGAATTGCACTCGGGACCTTCAGAAGAGCAGGCAAAGCTCTTAACCACTGAGCCATCTCTCCAGCCCTCATTCTCCTTTTTTATTTAACTTTATTTTATGTGCATTGATGTGAAGTCATCAGATCCCTTGGAACTGGAGTAACAGACAGTTGTGAGCTGCCATGTGGGTGCTGGGAATTGAAACCAGGTCCTCTGGAAGAACAGCCAGTGCTCTGACCCATCTTTCCAGCCCCTCATTCCCCCTTTTTTGAAGTGAGGTGCATTGAACCCTACCAAATACTGAGCAACATCCTCATGATTTGGAAGCATTTGCTGGCTGAATGCATAGTGAACTCAGAACTGGAATTTGCTCTGTACCAGGCTGGCCTCAAACTCAGAGATCCTCCTGCCTCTGCCTCCTGAATGCTGGGATTAAATGTGTGCACCACCACCTGGCTAGTGTTCTCATCTTTGAAATGAGTACACACGTGTGTGAGATGGCTCAGTGGGTAAAAGACAAGCTTAATGATGGAAAGAGAGAAGCAGCTGCTGAGAGTTGTCTTCTGCCTTCTACATACATGCCACATGTGTGCCCCCCACACAAAATAGATAAATGTAATAGAAAAGCTGAGTATTTAAGGTCAGGCTTGGTGCCCCATATCTATGATTCTAGCACTTAGGAGACTGAAGCAGAAATTTCACAGAGCTTGCCTGGTCTGCTTGAGACCACTGTGGGCTATATTGAGTCCCTGTTCAAAAAACAAAACTACAGGGGCTGGAGAGATGGCTCAGTGGTTAAGAGCATTGCCTGCTCTTCCAAAGGTCATGAGTTCAATTCCCAGCAACCACATGGTGGCTCACAACCATCTGTAATGAGATCTGCTGCCCTCTTCTGGTCTGCAGACACACAGAGATAGAATATTGTATACATAATAAATAAATAAATAAATAAATATTAAAAAAAAAAACTACAGACCACTACAGAGGGGCTGGTGAGATGGCCTGGCAGGTTACGGCTCCTGCTGTCAAGTCTAAGGTCTTGAGTTCAATCCCAGGCAATTCCACATGGTGGAAGGAGAGAACTGATTCCTGAAAGCTGGCCTCCAACCTCCGCGTGCATGCCATAGTATAGGTATAAGCGCACACAAAATGATAATGTAATAAAAGATCCAATGAGGCGATGGGGAATGTGCCCTCCTCCTATGGCTGTGTTTCACTGGAGAGCATGAGGTTCTGGTCAGTCCCCAGCACCTAGGGATGGTGTGTGTGTGTGTGTGTGTGTGTGTGTGTGTGTGTGCCCACACGTGTGCAAGCAAGTACCCCTGCCTTCCAGAGTCACTTTGAAAAAGAAACTGGTACATTTAGGAAATTATCACCTGGAGCCTGGAGCTCAAGTAAGTGTTCTACAAATAGGGTCTGTGTTGGTTTGGGGGACACTCAGGCCATGTGTGTGTGATGCGTACCTTCTCCCAGTCAGCAGCCCTCACCTCATATCCCAGGGTGAAGATGGTTTTGCCACTTGTATCTTTCTTCAAGAAGCCATTGATATTGATATAGAACCTGCGAGCAGGCTCCAGTGAGGAAGGCCCTCTCAGGGGAACTTCACCCCTCTCAGCCACCTTCTCCTGCTCCTCCCTTTTGCCTCCCTTGCTTTCCTTGGGATTCTGGGGGCTGGGATTCCTGACTGCCCTGGGCTTGAATACCTTTCGCGGGGAATGAAGACCCCCAAGCCATTGCTGCTGATGTCCACGCTCATAACTACGCTGCCGTTTTTGATGGGCATGGGTGCATACCAGTTCAAGGTGCACATGACCTCCGCTGAGCAGAATCCTGCTGGTCAGATGCAGTACTGAGGGGCTAGAGGCTGCCAGATGCCCCTAAAGGCCTCAGAGTGCCTCCAGACTTCCCATCTCCGCACACCACCACCAGCAAGGGCAGTTTGGCCCACCTGAGGTACGCAATGGGGCAGCCTCCATCTGAATCTGCAGATTTTCAGTCTCCCAGCGATAGAAATTGACTGGGTGCCTGTAGCTGATCAGGATCAGGGGTCTCATCCCCAACAGGTGGCTCTTTCGGACCAGCTCCTCGTCATCCTGAGGGTTACAGGGCATGCCTTAGTCTCGGGATCCATCTGTCCCGAGCCCCGCGAGCCCCGTGTGAGCTGAGTGGGGACAGCAGGCACTCCACCATGGGAGGGTAAGAGGACGTGGCTGTGCAGCCTGCTCTAATGTCACATACTTGTTCCCAGCACTCTGAGCTGGAGACAGCAGGCTCTCCAGTTCAAGGCTACGGGGATACTTAGGGAGTTTGAAGTCAGCCTGGACTATAAAGTGAGACTGTCTTAAAACAAACAAACAAACAAACAAACACCAAACCACCTCGAGAGCCCAGGTGTAGCACAATTCCTCTCTCACCCCCTCAGGAGAATGAAGCAGAGACAACCACAAATTCAGGCTGGCTTGGTCTCTAAGCGAGTCCTAGGTAAGTAAGGACTGTGTATCTATCTTTGTAGTGTTTTTGTTTGTTTGTTTGTTTGTTTTTTGAGACGAAGTTTCTCTAGCTTTGCTGCACGTCCTGGAACTAGCTCTCTAGACCAGGCTGGCCTTGAACTCACAGAGATCCACCCGAATGCTGGGATTAAAGACAGGCGCCACCACCGCCCAGCTTCTCTCTCCCTCTCCCTTTCTCTCCAACACCCTCTTCTGGAATCTGCCAGCACCAGGATGATGTGATCTACAGATGCACATGCAGACCAAATACCCGGACACATAAAATAAAAATCTTAATAAACTGAAACTTTTGAGCAGAGGTAATGACTCACATCTGTAATCCCAACACTCCAAAAATAGAAACAGGAGAAACAAAGCAAGTTCAAGGCCAGCCTGGTCTAAGAGTGAGTTCCAGGCTAGCCAGGGCTCCAAAGCAAGACTGGTCTAAAAAACATAAAAACAACCAGATGGGCCGGGCGATGGTGGCACACGCCTTTAATCCCAGCACTCAGGAGGAAGAGGCAGGCAAATCTCTGAGTTAAAGTCCAGTCTGTTCTACGGAGCAAGTGCCAGGACAGGCTCCAAAGCTACACAGAGAGACCCTGTCTTGACAAAACAACAGCCTACAGAAAGGGAAAAGATCTTTACTGACCCCACATCAGACAGAGGTCTGATCTCCAAAATATACAAAGAACTCATCAACTCTGAGATTACATCTTACACCTATAAAAATGGCCAAGATCAAAAACACCGATGACAACTTATGCTGGAGAGGTTGTGGGGAAAAGGGAACACTTCTGCATTGCTGGTGGGAATGCAAGCTGGTACAGCCTCTCTGGATGTCAGTGTGGCGATTTCTCAGAAAATTAGGAAACAACCTTCCTAAAGACCCAGTAATACCACTTTTGGGTATCTATCCAAAGGATGTTCAATCATAGCCAGAACCTGGAAACAACCTAAATGCCCCTCGACCAAAGAATGGATAAGGAAAATGTGGTACATTTACACAATGGAGTACTACACAGCAGAAAAAAAAATAGCAACATCTTGAATTTTTCAGGAAAATGGATGGAGCTAGAAAACATCATTTTGAGTGAGGTAACCCAGACACAGAAAGACAATTATCACATGTACTCACTCATAAGTGGTTTTTAAACATAAAGGAAATAAAACCAGCCTACAAACCACAATCCCAGAGAATTTAGACAACAATGAGGACACTAAGAGAAACTTACATAGATCTAATCTACATGGGAAGTAGAAAAAGACAAGCTCTCCTAAGTAAATTGGGATCATGGGAACTATAGGAGAGTGTTGAAGGGGAGAGGAGAAGAAGAAAGGGGAGCAGAGAAAAATGTAGAGTTCAATAAAAATCAATAAAAAAGTATATAAAAAAAGAAACCCTGTCTTGAAAAACCAAAGCCAAAACAACAACGAACACAAAACAAAACAACTGAAGAGTGGTATACGCTTTTAGGAGTCCAAGACACCCAGAGCTACACAAAGAAACAAACCTGCCTCCAGAAACTTAAAAAAAAAAAAAGTTGGGGGGCTGGAGAAATGGCTCAGAGGTTAAGAGCATTGCCTGCTCTTTCAAAGGTCCTGAGTTCAATTACCGGCAACCACATGGTGGCTCACAACCATCTGCAATGGGGTCTGGTGCCCTCTTCTGGCCTGCAGGCATACACACAGACAGAATATTGTATACATAACAAATAAATAAATATTAAAAAAAAAAGTTGGGCATGGCAATACGCATAGAATCCTCAGTACTTTGGGGAAGGCAAGACAACAATCCTGAGTTCGAGGGCAGCCTGGGATACATAAGACCCTTTTTCAGACAAACACAAAAATAAGCAAATGGCACTGGTGTGAGTATCCAGGCCATGGCTCCTTAGAGTATATTCAACCCACTTTTCTTTCTAAACACAAATACTAAGTACCTATGCGGTATTTTATGGTGAGTGAATTATATCTCTATAAACTTAAAACCTTTTGTTAGTATCTTAAGAAAGGGACTTCCAGCATAGCCCAGGATAGCCTCTCTAGAGCTGTAATGAGAGACAGGCACCACCTCTCCTTTTCACTTTTTTCTTTTTTAGACTTTTTATTTTACTTAATGAGCACAAATGTTTTGTCTGCATGCATGTATGTATCCCACGTGCATGCCTGTTGAATCATTTTGAACTGAGGTTATGTATGGTCATGAGCCACCAAATGGGTGCTAGGAATCAAACTCTGGTCCTCTGCAAGAACAACCAATCAGTCATGTCTCCCACCCTGTGGTGTCTTTGAATGATGGGACTGGAGATGTAGCTCAGGTATTAGGCCACCTCCCTACTCTACATGGGGCCCCAGGCTCTATTCTCAACATCTAATGAAACCAAGTGTTGCAATACACAATTGAAATTCCCATGGAAATGGTGGAGGCAAGGTTCTCAAAAGTGGGAGGTTACCTCTGCTACACATCAACTCAGTCAGTCTGGGCTTCACAGGACCTTGTCTTAAAAACACTAACAGGAGTTGGAGAGATGGTTCAGTGGTTAAGAGTACTGGCTGCTCTTTCAGAGGTCCTGAATGCAATTCCCAGCAGCCATATGGTGGCTCACAACCATCTGTAATGGGACCTGGTGCCCTCTTCTGGCATAAAGGTGTGCACACAGATAGAGCACTCATACATAAAATAAATAAATCTTTCAAAAAAGAAAACACTAACAAAATGGAGTTCCAGCACTTGGGTAGCATAGGCAGATAGCTCTCTATGTCTTCAAGATCAACCTGGTCTACACAAGACCTTATCTCCAAAGAAAGAAAGAATCACAGAACAGAACGTTTTCAAACCATATATTTGATAAGCAACCATCACCTCTAACATATAAGCAATTTTTACAAGTCAACAATAAAAAGGCAAAACACCCTTCATTTTAAAACAAGGAAAGGCTGGGCAGTGGTGATGCACACCTTCAATCCCAACACTAGGGAGGCAGAGGTAGACAGATCTCTAAGTTTGAGGCCAGCTTGGTCTACAGAGTGAGTTCCAGCACAGCCAAGGCTATGTAGAAAGACCCTGTTTCAAACAAACAAAAACAAAACAAAACCCAAAATTGGGCAAAATCAGGTTGGCATTGTGGCTCACACCTATAATCCTAGCACTTGGGAACAGAGGCATAAGGGTTGTTGTGAGTTCAAGGCCAGCCTAGTTATGTAACACGCTCCTTGTGTTATGAAAGACAGAAGGTGGGGTTGGAGAGATGACTCAATGGTGAGGAGTGTATACTGCTCTTCCAGACAACCAAAGTATGGTTCAAGACAGTGGCCTGCACTCCAATTGCAAGGATTCATTGCCCTCTACTGACATCCATAGGTAACTGCATGTACACACATATACCCACCATACACATATAATTAAAAATAAAATGAATATTTTTAAATACTTTGCAATGGCTAACTTTGTCCCAAAAGTTATTTTTTAAAAATTTACTCTTAGACACTGTTGTGTCTGTATGTATGCATGCATGCCAGAAGAGGTCTTCAGATCCCATTATAGATGGTTGTGAGTCACCTTGTGGGTGTTGGGAATCGAGCTCAGAACCCCTGGAAGAGCGGTCAATGCTCTTAGCCACTGAACCATCTCTCCAGGACAAATGGGTATTTTTTAAAAAAAATGAATGTTAATAGACACGAGGGTATTTGTGTCTGCCTAGTGAAAGTCCTTAAGACCTGCAGAGTTGGAGGAAACTAGTATTAAACTGTATAGAAAAGCACCTCTGAAAATGACGGGGACTGGAGATTACTGAAATCATCCACTCACAAGGTAAACTCTCACCTGTTCCATACAGGAGAAGCTGACTTTCAGGTAGTAAGGAAAACTCATATATTTCTGTAAGGAAAGGTGGGCGAAATAGCCAGTCAAGAAGTGTACTGACTCAGGATCCCTCTGATATTTACTGGCCCAAGATCCCTCTGATATTCTTGACCCCAGTTCCCTCACCTCCTGCGGGTCGATTGGCAAGTCTGCCAAATTTTGGAACACCTCGGTCACTGTATCAATGGGTTCTTGATCCAGAAATCGAGCCTTAGTCGGGAGCGAACCTACTTTGTCGAAATTGTTCAGAACAACAAGCCAGTGGCAGTGTTGGAAATGTTCTACCGCCCACGACTTCCACGACAGCAGTAGCACTAGCAGCAGTACACAGAACGCCCATAGCTTTGGTTTTCTCGGCCATACAGGGCTGACAGGGGACATGGCTGGGCAGCACACCATGCAGCTAGAACCTGGAGAACGTGGGGGTCAATACCCACTTGCGAGTCGGCTCCCTTCAGTTGCTCTCTGGGAAACCGCTCGGTTTTTGCCTTTCTTTCCGCCCCTCTTCCTGGCTCCACCTTTGATCCGGCTTCGAGCCCCTGCCCCACTTCTGCCTCCGCCCCTGCTCTTACTCTCGGCCCCAGCCCTGCTCTTACTCCTGGCCACGCCCTTACCCTTACTCTCAGCCCCTCCCCTACTAACACTCCTCGCCTCGCCCCTGCCTCTGCTCTCGGCCCCGCCCCTGCTCTTGCTTCTGGCCCCGTTCCTATCCCTGCGGCTCTTATCAGCCCCCTTGACAATCGTTCTGTCTCTTCTTGCCCCACCTTTGCTCTTCTCTGTGCTGGCTCTTAGAACTCTGACTCTATTCTTCTCCAAGACTCTCTTTTTGTTTCTTGCCCTGCCAGAGCCCTTCTTTTCTCTAGCCTTACGCCCCAACGACTTGTTCCTGGACTTGGTTACTCCTTCACAGGCTGCCCCGCCCTCACACTGCTCTTCGCCACGCCCCTTTCTCTTTGCTTTTGCACTGCTCAAGAACCGGCTTCTAGTCTTGGTTTTGTCCTTCTTTGAGTCCTTGATCACTCCATCCAGGCTACGACCCCTGCCCTGGCTCAGGCGCTGAGTCCGGAGCGAGGTGTGTTCCTCGTTCCTCGTTCTCTCCAGGCCACGGCCCTGATCCTGGAGGGAGGCGTGCTCTTCGGTCCTCGTTCTCTCCAGGCCACGGCCCTGATCCTGGAGGGAGGCGTGCTCTTCGGTCCTCGTTCTCTCCAGGCCACGGCCCTGATCCTGGAGGGAGACGTGCTCTTCGGTCCTCGTTCTCTCCAGGCCACGGCCCTGATCCTGGAGGGAGGCGTGCTCTTCGGTCCTCTTTCTCTCCAGGCCACGGCCCTGATCCTGGAGGGAGGCGTGCTCTTCGGTCCGCTTTCTCTCCGGGCCACGCCCCTGATCCTGGAGGGAGGCGTGCTCTTCGGTCCGCTTTCTCTCTAGGCCACGCCCCTGATCCTGGAGGGAGGCGTGCTCTTCGGTCCTCTTTCTCTCTAGGCCACGCCCCTGATCCTGGAGGGAGGCGTGCTCTTCGGTCCTCGTTCTCTCCAGGCCACGGCCCTGATCCTGGAGGGAGGCGTGCTCTTCGGTCCTCTTTCTCTCCAGGCCACGGCCCTGATCCTGGAGGGAGGCGTGCTCTTCGGTCCGCTTTCTCTCCGGGCCACGCCCCTGATCCTGGAGGGAGGCGTGCTCTTCGGTCCGCTTTCTCTCTAGGCCACGCCCCTGATCCCGGAGGGAGGCGTGCTCTTCGGTCCGCTTTCTCTCCGGGCCACGCCCCTGATCCTGGAGGGAGGCGTGCTCTTCGGTCCGCTTTCTCTCCGGGCCACGCCCCTGATCCCGGAGGGAGGCGTGCTCTTCGGTCCTCTTTCTCTCCAGGCCACGGCCCTGATGCCGGAGGGAGACGTGCTCTTCGGTCCGCTTTCTCTCTAGGCCACGCCCCTGACCCTGGAGGGAGACGTGCTCTTCGGTCCGCTTTCTCTCTAGGCCACGCCCCTGATTCTGGAGGGAGGCGTGCTCTTCGGTCCGCTTTCTCTCTAGGCCACGCCTCTGAGCCTGGTGGGAGGTGGGCTCCTTGCTCTTCTTCCTCTCCACGCCACGTCCTAGGTCCTGGCTTCTCCCTTTCCCTGAATCCTGGGCATCTTCGCCCTCCTGCTCCTGTCCCCGCCCCCTCTCCTCCCGCCCCGGTGGTTTCTCCTCAGCACCCGCCTGCCACTCCGCACCAGCCCTCTCCTGGACCTGTTCCTTCTCCTTAGGGAACCTTTCCTGGTCGTGGGACCTCTCTACTCGTCGGGGTCTCTCCTCGCCCCGGGATCGCTCTTCTTCGAGTGACCTTCCCTCGCCCTGGGATCTATCTTCGCTGGATGGTCGCTCCTCGCCCTGGTCCTCCCATTTGGCTATCTCTTCGCCGTGCTCCCTCTCGTACTCGTATATAACTCGGTCCTTGCCCCAATATTTGTCTTCGCCTCTACTCCACTCGTGATCTCGGGGTCTCTCCTTGCCATAGACTGTGCTCTGGCCGAAAGACCTCCCGTCGTCCCACACCCACGCTGACTTCGCGATCTTCACTGTCCCCACCGACACCTTTTTCCTCCACCTTTTTTCATCGCCCTGAACTTCAACCTGTTCTATGTCCCGCCTCTTCTAGCCACGCCCATACTCATCGAAAGCTTCAGGTCTGAAAGGCGTTGGCTTTCGCCCCGCCCTTTCGCCGTCCCGCCTTTGCCGCGCTCTTTCTTTGCCTGGTCCCTGTGCTTGATGCTCTTTCCCCAGCCTTGTTTTGCCTCGCCTCGCCTTGCCTCCCCTCCCCTGCCCTCCCCTTCTTAAGTCCCTCCCGCCCCCCTCATCCCGTAGGATGGCACCGCCCTCTTCTCCCCGCCCCGCTGTACCAGTACTTGGTTAAAACGCGTCAACCGTTGCTTGGCAGCGCCTGTTCCACCCCTGTTGCCAGCTGTTAAAATGGCCGCTCGGACTTCCACCTTGCGCAAGGCACGCCTACGAAGCGCGTGTGTTTCTATGGTAACACGCATTCCTAACTGGCGCCTAGGGCTTTAGGGCTGGCCTGGAGCAACTCAGGTTCCCTGACGTGTGGCAGGCAGGAATACTGGCAACGTGTGTAGCTAGCTCCTTGCTAAGAGGGCCACGGAGGAATTTATAATGATTGTTCTGGCAGTGATATCGTGTCTACTTGACCTCTAGATCAAAAGCCTCCTGAGAAAAACAATTCCAGAACTTTTGGGGTAATGGGCTCGAGTGATCTAGAAGTGGGCTCCTATAGTTAAATTAGGCAGCTAGTTTAATAGTAGCCTAGTTAAAAGTTGGGCCCCTCTGGTCAACAGCCTGTAAAACAAATGACCAAGAGGCAAGGCTTTAATTACTGATCAGAAGACAGACCTGAGCCATGACTCTGATCTGCTACATTGTGAACTAGATAACAACCTTCCCAGGCTCAAGTGGTGCACATTCATACACATGAAAAGATTACTGCTGGGCTGGAGAGATGGCTCAGAGGTTAAGAGCATTGCCTGCTCTTCCAAAGGTCCTGAGTTCAATTCCCAGCAACCACATGGTGGCTCACAACCATCTGTAATGGGGTCTGGTGCCCTCTTCTGGCCTGCAGGCATAAACACAGACAGAATATTGTATACATGATAAATAAATAAATATTTAAAAAAAAAGATTACTGCTTACAGACCGGTATGGAGGGACCTGCTTTTAATCTCCTTCTCTGGAGTGAGTGAAGGCTGCTTAATTCAAGGTCAGCCTGGTCTACAAAGCTACTTTTCGAGACAGTCAAGTCTTTTTCTTTTCTTTTTTTAAGATTTATTTATTTTGTTTACAGTGTTCTGTCTGCCTGTGTGCCTGCAAGCCAGAAGAGGGCACCAGATTTCATTACAGATGGTTGTGAGTCACCATGTGGCTGCTGGGGCTTGAACTCAGGACCTCTGGAAGAACAATCAGTGTTCTTAACCTCTGAGCCATCTCTCCAGCCTGACAGTCAAGTCTTCCGTACAGAAAAACCATGTCTTCAATGAAACCTTGAAGAAAAAGGGGGAGGGGAAGGACGTGGAAGGAGAAAAAGGAAAAAGAAAGAAAAAGGTGTGTGTGGGCTGGGGCAGTTGGTAGAGTCATTGCTTAACTGGGTGTGCAAACCAGTGAACGCCCATAATACCACTTCTGTGGTAGAGGCAAGAGGATCAGAAGTTGAAGATCATCCTTGGCAACACTGGAAGGTCAAGGCCATCCTAGGCCACAAAGAAACCCCATCCCCCCTGAAAGAAAGAAAGAAAGAAAGAAAGAGAGAGAGAGAGAGAGAGAAAGGAAAGGAAAGGAAAGGAAAAGCAAAGCTGATTGTGGTGGCCTGTGCCTGCTCCCAACCATCGTGTTTCAGAAGTGCTAGGTTTACAGATAAGAACCACCGCATCCAGCTGGCTTTTCCCACGGGTCCTGAGGATTAAACTGAGGTCCTCAGGCTTGAGATACAAGCCCTCTGAACCACTGAGCTAGCTCTTTGACTTACAGGTATAGCCCAGCCTGGCCTTGAACTCAGAACCTCTAGTTTCTGAATCACCAATATATCCTGCCACTACAACTAGGAAGAGATTTTAAAACTAACATCAAGCCTGCCCAGAATGTGGACAATGTTCCCTCTGGTCATTGTCCACTCAACCCTTGAGAGCGTGTCCAACTTCTACATTACATTCTTATGCATCTCCAAAATTCTTCCAGAGATCACAACAAGGGAGGCAAGATCTCAATGGTTCCTTTATTCCTGGGTCTACATAAAAAGTGCCGGGCCAGCCAGAGCTTTGTCGTGAGACCCGGTCTCAAAACAACAAAATACCCCACACTTATGGAGGGAGGCATGGCCAAGGTGTGGTTGCCCACATCCATAGTCCCAACACTTAGGAAACTGAGGCAGGAGGATCATGAGTTTGAAGTCAGCCTGGCTACACAGAGAGTACAATACTTGGCCTGAGGAAACATTCAATAGGGTAACAATTTTCCTTTGGCTTCTGGCACCTACCAGCTAAACACTGCTTATTAGAATATACTGAAGGCCACGGTTTGCACTGACCTCCTATACTGACTGACCAACAAGACAGAATTACTCATATTGAAATTCTACACCATCAAACTAAAACCTAGTTGTTTATCTAATATTCTGAATAATCAGGAGAGGAAGACAATAGCCAAATCTCCAGCCTGGCCAGTTTTAGCTGTAGATCCCTCTGGTTTGACTTTTTTAAGGAAAGTCATTTTCAAACAATGTATCAGGGTTTTGTTCTGTTTCTCTGCCTTCCCAATCTCTTTAACTCAGACACTGATTGCCCTGGGACTGGCAATATAGACCAGAATAGCCACAGATGCAGAGATCTGCCTGCCTCTTCCACTTGGATGTTCTGGTTAGGGACCAGCAATGGTCCACACTCAGCTTTGAGCCCTCCCTCTCCCGCCCTGCGTTTTCTGTTGTTTTGAGACAGGGTCTTAACGTATCTAAGGCAGGTCTAGAATTTACAGTGGACCCAAACATGGGTTTGAATTCCCAATCCTC